CTGAATCCAATACCATCAAGGACACTGTGGGGCATCAGTATGAGTAACCCGGAAAGGCTTCCTTTACTGTCCAAAATGACCTTACGTAATAAGCCCATTGCCCAGTTCTTGAATCACATGATTAATTGCTCACCGGCCTTTTCAGCAGCTATGACACTATGTGCCACCCACGGAGTCCGCTCTGGCCTAATGTCTCACTCTCATTAAATGGGGCCTTTGTGTCCCAGCTGCTCTCTTTTGTTCCAGTTTTGCCCACCTATCAGAGAGGTCGACCCCCGTGTCTCTAGCCACGATGATGATATCACCTCTGCCCTCATCGAGGCTGGAGCAACCAAGGTGAGAGCGCTCAGGGGCAGCTACGGGCCGTCTCTTTTCCCATATCAATCAATCAATCCTTTGTGCCGGCGAGGCCCGTGGGCTCATAGGGACAGTAATGAGAGGGAGCACTTTGTTATCTGCCAGTGCTCTAGCAATACAACCCATACAGAGAAAATTCTATAACAGCACATTGTTTGAGGCAAGTAAAGTGAGGGGTCTGAGATGTGGTGCTTTCACACCGGTTGGAATCAGAGCCCAGAGTTTGCCTGCTGAGCTCGGCCAGTAAAACCTCTCTGTTCCAGAGTCAGTTGAGTTAACACACCAAAGTGATAGAAGGGGAGAGAGAGATTTTGCTTTTCGCAGTTACAAACTTGCGTGTTGTTCTGTTGTGGTACGCACACTCGTAGTGCGAAGTGGCGTAACGGCTCTTTAATGAGTTAAAGAGACAGTTTTTCAACTTTTTGGACTGAAATTCTGTTGAATGAGGCCAAACATTTTCTGTCCTGCTGCTAAAACCAACATGTTTTTACTTAAATGTGTCTCCCAATATGTAGACATTTAGGAGGCACAAGGCTTTGACCTCACACCATGCACACATAAACACGCACACACGCACGCACACAAACACAAACTGAGCCAAATTTAGAAACTAAGATATCATGTTCAGGTTCCTCGAAGTCTTTGGTATTTCATATTTCACGGCTTCTTTTTCTCACAGCCAAACACTGCTGCCATCTCCTGCTATTTCTCCAAGAATCAGCTTTGATTTACTACTCAGATTTTTTGGGCGATTATTCCGCTTTTGTGGCCATGTCCTGCATCAGTCTGAACTAAATGCCAAAAATGTCTGTTATTCTAGGTTAAGTTTTTCCTATTTTTCACTAGCTTTTACTTTGTTTTAAGTATGTTTTGCTGGCTCGGTGGCACTCTTAGATCTGTTGATGAAGAGTGTGTTATACATGAAATGTATTATTATTATTATTATTATTATAGGTTTTCCAAGGCGTAAGTCCAAGGATTAAGTTGTTACGTCTCTGTGGGTTCACTCATCAGTTATTGTCGGCAGCTTTCCACAACTCAGCATTAACTTTCAGCCAAATGAAACCTTCTTGCTTCCTGCAAAGTACTGTGAGAAGTCTGTAAACTAGTAACATTAACTGCTGTTACAGACGCTTCCCTCCCAGTGAAGTGAAGTGCAACACCCCCCCCCCCCCCCCCCCATATTCTCACACACACACACAAACACACACACTCCAACCCGGGCTCAGTGGTGTGGTTTTTATAGGGGGATAAAATTCCAGGGCGCCGGGGGGCCGCACGCGGAAAACATGTCTGCTTTTCTGTATGTTTAAGGACAGCAGGCCAAAGGGAATGAACATTACTCCTTTTAATGCATACTTGTCTATTCTGGACAGTGTTCCCAAAGGAGGATAATGTCTTTAGGCAACGTAGACAAGCAACGCATTCTAATACCTCTGAAACCAGAAAGATTTAATAAAATAAAATAATAAATAAAATACAAACATGGCTCTCTAGCTGTCACACGACCATCTGGGGGAACCAGATACATTGCAGCTATACATCTGCTGTACAAATACGGTTTGAAATACGAATGTTCATTCATTTGATTAGTCAAACCTCTGAATGTTCTTCTTTCAAGTGTCAGTGCTTCACATTGTGTGTTGCATTCAAGTGAAGAAAGTAGGAATGTAGAGTATAAATTATTTCCCCCGCTCCTCCACCAATTCCCTCGGATTTTCTTTGTTTAAAATATTTTAAAAGTAGGCTACCATTCACCTGATGGGGACCTCCTAGAAAGTTATTATTTCCCAGCCTGAAAGACGCCCTGTGGAGTTTTCACTAACTAAAATGCAATGTGTGTATTACTAATCTTCCCTGCACATGTTGGCTCGTTGCTGCCTTTCTTAGTGCATTAGTTAGTGCATGAGACAAACAAATTGGGGACCCACTTGTAGAACGATTGCTGGCTCTACTAGCTTTCAAAAACTCAATTATAAATATATATATATATATATATATTTTTTTTTTTTTCAAAGGTAGCTTGAAACCAAAAAACTGACAAAAAAGCTAAGAAGTGGACCTTGACCTTTTGTATTTCTTCTAAAATATGCTAACATTTGAGAATGAATTAAATTCTGCATCAGCATTTTATTTGCTGTTAACTCACTAATGATAATAACAATACTAGAAAATACCACAAGTCTCTAAATTACTATAATGAACTCATACTGCCATGTCGCTACTCTTGATTTTCAGACCTCTTGCAGTCGTACTCATGTGATTTGAATGCAGCCCCAGTAGGCAGCGGTGACGCACTCTTACAGGCCCTGTGCTCTTGTGGCACACTGATTGGTCCAAATTGAGGGTGTGTTCACAGCGTGGGCAGCTTTCAACGGAAGTGAATTGAGTAGCAGATTGCAGTTTGTGGTATAGACATAACTGGAAGTGGTCCAAGCCCATCCATACACATCTCCAGACTTGTGCCACAGCATGCCACAAGCACACACTTTTGTGTGAGCATGCAGGAAATCCAATGGACTTTGAAAATACTGCTGTATTGCGGTTTCCACTCTGTCCGTCCAGATTTATCTATTTTGTGGAAAACAGACTGGAACAACTTGTTTTTATTGAAGAGAATGAAGTCTGTAGAGATATTGTGTTACATTAGGATTACTATTTAGATATTTGTACCATAGTAATAGGATGAGGATAGAAGGCAGAAAGTAAGACAAGATTATAAATTCATGGCCAGGAAAGTCTACCACATGAGAATATTAAAATGTAGAGGTTTTCTCCCGGCCGAAATACCTCCCATTTCTTAACTGTGGTGACTTCTCCAAAATTCATTCCACCGACTAAAACCTCAATTAAACCTATAGATAAAGAAGTCTGATGATAATAATTACCTATATTTAGAGCTTTAAGTGATCGCCATTTTGGTTAGATTAGAGAGGGAGCCTGATTCTTGCTCTAGGCTAATTTCCTTGATGGTCTAAATATAGCCTGTATGAACGTTTTTCCAGCAGACGGAACGCGAGCGTCTTATGCAAAGGAGTTTAGAGATAAATGAAATGTTATGATAGACACATTTCAAAGTCACTGATCTATAAAAATTGGTCCGGCCACAATCAGCTCGTTAGTCCGTCTCCTCGTCTGTCTGTCTGTCTTCACACACAGACTGCGGGCGATTTGTCTATGGGTTGCTTGTGGTGTACCGCTGTACTCTGTTGCATCACCGTTCTTTGATATTGCACTATGAGGGAAGTATTAGAGGGAATTTAAACAGCATTTTAACAAAGAAATCACAACCACTAACTGTGGTTTGCATGTCATCTCTAGATTTCCTCCTGGTGCTCCGGTTTCCTCCCGGTAACAAAAGACATGCCAGTTGGGTGAAAAGAAAAATCAGAATCAACTGTTCTGGTCTGTATGTTGTTGGCCTGTGATTTGCCTGGAAGTCCATCATAGTGAAGTTGCTCTAGTGCCATCTTATAATTAAGAAAAAGGAAGGAACAATTTGTATCACTGGGCCCCCTAGAGGTTTGGCCCCCAAGTGCAGTTGCCCATCCGGCACCCTGATGTCCCGCCAGAGGTACCACACAGCGAAATGACTGCCGGCCTGCATCATACCGCTGTCTCCTTTTGAGGCCCTGAAGGGAAACGATTAACACCACGAGTTTACTCAAAATATGTTTTTATGTTTTTACTGCAAGCTCAGTCTTCCTACAGTTATTCCACATTACAACTGAAATACGTTGCATGTTCTCAAATGTTACTCTTGAAAAAGATTCCACTAAGGTTTTCAAATGCTCAACCATGCCAACAATAGTCTCTGTAGTAGTTATTAGAAGACCTCTTTGTGAGGGACTGAACTGGGCATTGTGTAACTTACACCTCCCCTTCCACAAAACAGGTATTAGTCTAGTTTTAGGAGATTTCCCTCATATCCAGATATTATACCATGAGCTTAAAATCAATACTATTGCCATTTTTCTCACATCATTTTGTGAGTGTATAATTATTATAAGAATACATTTTTTTATATTGAGTGTGACTTCATTTTGTCAAACAATGGCTAGTGGAATTGAACCTTCCATTAAGGAATTAGTAGCTTGCAAACCCAAAAGTTTTGCTTATTTTATGTGGAGTGCTTGAACATCATATGCTTCCATTTTTTTCCAGTTTGTTGACAAGCTTGGTATTTTGTTGATCCTACCATAGCCTGCCGCATGTCTCTGCTCTGTTTTTATGAAAAACGATATGCTGGCAGGATCTGTAGGTTATCTTGCAATATATATATTTACAAATCACGCCTCATATTGGACATTTTGTATTATTCACCATCGCACATATTGGTCCGTGAAACACTCCTTGGTCACCCAAAAGCTGTCACGGTCAATTTACTCATTAATATTGCTTTATAGCGCCAGTTTTTATTGCAAAAAGGGGGACTTTCACTGGACACTCCCCTAAAACCTTGGACGTGGATATCTGCTTCTCTGATTGGCTGCGAAGCCGCGACCGACAACACCTGCTTCACTCCTTCATCCGAATAAACACCCGGGGCTCAGGGAAATATAGGCAGCATCCCTTGCAGCTCATGCATTCAGTCCCACAGCCGCCCCACTAGACAGCAAGCCGCAGCTGCGCTGATCACTGATCCAAGGTGAACCCTCGATCACACGCGCGCGCATACACGCACGCGCGCGCGCACACACACACACACACACACACACACACACACACGCACGCACGCACGCGCTGCGGGATCTTTGCTGGGACATCGGAGCACACTACCGGGAACGCAATGATGGTCAAACTGGCCGTGGTGCTGCTGGTTTTGTCAGTGCTGGAGCAAGTGGTGGGATTGGATATTATCGATATCCATGACAGCCTCCCGGAGAAGCCCGTGAGCCAAAAGGGACGCCTATCCTTGCAGAACACAGGTACGAACTGAGTGTTAGGAGTTGAAAATCTGAAGGTTTTTTTTTTTTTGGTTGGTGCAAGTGCCCGCACGTCCCCGCTGGGCTTCTTCCTACACGTGTTTATGTGGCTGCAAATTAAAACCATGCTGGGGACTCGATCCACGCGACGTGAGCACAAAACGCCGCTTCTAACTCAAATCCCGGCGCTGCAGTTCGCACGTAAACCCGTTTCGATCACTCAGTAAGACGATACCTAGTAAATACTCACGGGGGGAAATACAATATGTTAGTAAACTATTAATAGAATGGCACAAGGTAATAGGTAATGCATACGGCAGCGCGTCTAGGTGTGCGTGCGCGCACTGGCGTGCTCGTACGAGCGCGGCAACGGTTTTATTGGGTTTTCTGGAAAGAAATCAGTTGTTTGTCGTTGTTGCGATGTGCATTCCAGGCTGCTCCGCATGGATCCGATGTGTCCAAACAGGTTAGCGGGCCAGTGATGATCGCAGCACTGCGGCTCGGCGACTTTGTTTTGGTTTGAACCAAATCCTCTGTGGGTGCGGGGACCGAAAAGACAGAAGCAGCTCTCACCCCAAAAACCACAAAGCACTTTGCGCCACATTGGACCTTTATTGCCACGCCCTCGTAGCATGATCTATAGCATCATCGATCGATTTCTTACACACAAAAAAAACTAAATTGTGAGCAAACTCTGACGCATCACAACAGAGGTAGCGCCGCTGTGTAATTCAACGCACGTTGTGGACAAGCTCGTATAAGATCCGAGCGCATTCCCGCGATGCCAGGGCAGGCTGACAGCGGCTCACTTTCCCTGCGCACTGAAGTTAAACAGCCCCCACAAACCCCGCAGCCCCCTCCCACGTCCCCTAACCCCTTACTACTGCTCCACCAAACAGAGGCTCTTTGTTGACACGCGTGCATTTCTGAAAAGTCCCATTCAATCATTATTTTGTGCACTCTTGGCGCCATGGCGCGCGCTTCCGGCTGAGAAAAATGTGTCCTTGCGAACCGTTTAGTTATCAGCTGCAAGGCGAGTCGCGCGTGTAATTATGTGTTACGGAATTCAACGGGTGGTGTTTCGTTAACCTGCAATTTGCCAAAATGTCACACTGCCAACGCTGCCACGTGCAGTTATGACGCGTTTGACTGGTACTGTATGTTAAGCAGCAGTTTCTGTGATAGATACAATTTGGTACTAAAAGACAGACCTTCAATTTCACGTGGTAATTTCCACCGTCGTATACCCGTTTTATTCCTGTCTTTCATGGCCACAGAAAAAACAGAAAAGGGCCCTTGAGAACCAGCCTGTGGTGTTCAGCAGCTGATATTGTGTATTCATATATACTTGCACATCTCCCAAGTGTTTCTGCCTGCATTGCTGCTGTCGGGATCTTTTGGATTCTCCATTCCATTACGCAATCTCAGTTTGTCTTTGAGTGCAATCACTTGTGTTGCACATTGAGTCATGGCTGTATCTGCAATGCACCAACCCGTCTGCAATGCCTAAAGCATTGCAGATTGTGGGACAGAATAGCACAGTAACATCTGTCACAAAGGGTTCCTCTGCAGGAAGTCCTCAGCTTGGGAAAATTAGACTCCACCCACCCGGCATCCCTTTTCTCTAGCAAGCAACCGCCTGGCTCCCGACCGGCTTTATGATTCGTGCAGCGATGCAAAGTGCCGAAGTTGAGTTGTGCCTTGAAGCCGTATGGAATTTATTGCTGACACGCCTGTAACAATCAAGTGCTGTGGACAGATGAAAAGGTGCCTCCCCCTAACCTGTTCTCTCTTTCCAGCTGAGATGCAGCATTGCCTGGTGAGTGCAGGGGATGTCGGCTGTGGTGTGTTTGAGTGCTTTGAGAATAACTCCTGTGAGATACGAGGGCTACAGGAAATCTGCATGACGTTCCTGCACAACGCTGGCAAATTTGACTCTCAGGTACTAAACTGGTCTGTCTGTGTGTTTTGCAAAAATGGTTTAACCATAGGCCACATTCTCTCTATTTGATGCTGCTCCACACTCATGATCTATGGACAGATTACTTTACATTTTGCTTTTTTTTTTTCCACAAAAGGTACAACTTTTCCTAGAAGTGCGATCTCACTTACACTGATCTCCTCGTCATCTGTTCTCAGTGCTCAGTGCACTGGTACACAGTTAGGACTAAGGGTCACGAGCCAGTTGGCCAGACGCCTTAGCTCGCTTTTTATACATAGCAAAGGCGGAAGCCCTGCCAAGCCAGGTCTGACCGGGGTCTTCACATTTCTACACGGTCACACTCTAGGAACCTTTGGCCGATAAATCCACAACATTTTAGCAGCAGAGTAACACATGTTCTTGCTTTTCGTGCAGAATTTGATAACCCCATTCTGTATTAGAAGCGTATAGCTACCCGTGCATACAGAATTTTGCTCCAATGCATCCACACAAACTCTAAAGCACTTATTAAAGCGATGCAGTTAAAATGATCAGCCTGGAGGATTGGAGCATTAAAGGAACGTTGTTTTGAGTTGCCTCAACAGTTGTGTCTCTTTATGTACATAGGGGAAGTCCTTCATCAAAGATGCTCTGAAATGTATGGCACATGGGCTACGGCACAAGTTCAGCTGCATAAGCAGGAAGTGTGTGTCCATTAAAGAGATGGTGTTCCATCTCCAGAGAGAGTGTTACATCAAACACAACCTGTGCTCCGCTGCTAAGGACAACGTGGCCGTCATGGTGGAAATGATCCATTTCCAAGATCTCTTCCCCAAAGGGTGAGTGGCGTTTCACAAGCATGTCCCTTCTCTTATTATCGCTGTTTACCCTCGCTGGACTCTCCTGCCAGTTTGAGGCTGTTCTCTTCTCACGTGCCCAGTAACGGTATCACGGCATTTACTCCTGTCGTTTTCCTAGAACTAGATGTATTGTGTTTCCAAACATGATTACACAAGCTCCATGTGGGTAATCTACCTCTCTTTGCTCAGCCCATACGTGGAGCTGGTGAATATTCTTCTGAGCTGTGGCGAGGAGGTGAAGGAGGCATTGACACGGAGTGTCAGGCGACAGTGCGAGGAGAATTGGGGGGCTTTGTGCGACAGCCTGAGCCTCTGCTCCTCCCTCGCCCCATCTCCCGCCGGTTCCGCCATCGAACACCACCGCCACCCTTTGCCCGCCCATCCCGAGCCAGAGCACCCTCGCCCCCCGCGACAAGGCGATAAGGAGAAACATGCTAAGGTTAGCTTCAACGCTCACCCACGCAATCGCAGTCAGGGGACCCGTCGCCACAGCCTGGACGCCACCGAGGCCACTGTCATCCGGAGGTGAAAGCGTCCCGAACCCTTGACTACCCACAACGTATAAAAAAACACACCTGCAGATTTATGCACACCGTCACAATAAGCCACACCCCCACACATACACACACACACACACACACACACACACAAACACAAAATCCCAGACAGACTGAGCAGAAGGAAACGAGCATCGACCTTTTTTGTCCTTATTCCGCCCTCTCCAGTCATTCCAGCATCTCACATAGTAAACTTGCAGGGTAATTGTGGTGTAGCTTGTACTCTTACGCCAGACCGTAGGCCTCGATAAAAAAAAGAATAATACTTGTTATTATCAGGATTATTTTAACTGTTAGGACTATTTTGGGCTCTAATATAGCATTTCTCAAATCTTACTTACTGTAAGATTTGATTGCATTTGTATTATTTATTTTATTCTGTATACAATGTTGAAGTATCAAAATGTACATAGAAAATATACTTATCTATATTTATATAAACATGTATAAATATAGTTACAATATGCAATACTGATATATTGTAGATGACATAGTATATGCTGTCTTGACAGTGTTGCACCCATCACACAACGGTCTGCAGGTATGTGACATGCACCATTTGTTATTTCAAAGTGCGAATGTGTATTATAATTATAGAAACTTAAATACAAATTGTACAGGTTTCAAGTCCAGTTCTGGCACATATGAATTGTAGTGCATGATGGCCACGAAGCCTTGTGCATTCTTAAAGTGAAAATCCACTCTATAGTGGATGCAAAAGTAATACTATGAATATAGATGGTTATTTCACACATGTTTGTAATGCTAAAAAGCTAGAAACAAGAGCGCCGAGGCGGATCTCTGTGGCCATCAAAGCGCTCCTGAGACAAACATGGGCTCTTGTTTCATAAGTAGGAGTGCAACATTGGTGTGACGCAAAAAGTATCACAAGACATCATTGTTCTTGTTCACGATTAATAATTGAACCGTCAAATGTTAGGCCTTCCCTTTGAGTTGGTTTTCCTGCTAGTTGTCAGCTATCTGTGAACAGCAGCAAAGGGAGGATGCTCAATCAAGTCCTTTTTCAAAATGTCTCAAACATCGAGGTGCCTAAACTTGTTATTGTCCACAGTGACCGCTTCTCTGTGATTTTTAGGTGAACGGATGATAATGTGTCGTAAGGAGATTTAATGTTGAGCTATTTCCCAACAATGTTGAGCCACAGAAGTCTACGATTTTGCACTTTGGATGATTGTCAGTTGTGTGTCGGACTGCTGCAAGTTTAGAGAAAAGACCACGTTACCAGAGCAGTCGCCCTCTAAACCAGACCGTGTGTGTAGAATATCTCATTTGATCGACCCTGATTTCCCCTTATCAAAAACAGCAGCAGGTTTTTGTATCCCCACGTGCTCCTTCGGACCAGATTGAGCCCCTTCATCAGAAGGACAATGTGAACCTTTTGTGGTGTCCCAGAGGGCGGGAAAGAGGCCTGACAGAACCCCTCCAGATCTCTGGCCTCGCTAAATTAGCCCTTATTCCACTGTGGTCCTTTCACCCAGGTCAGGAGAGACGCGAAGGCCTGTTATTCTACTCGTTAACGCCGCAGGCAAAGCAGCGAGCAACCAGGAACTGGGATAAGTCCACACACGGGGGATCTGGCGCTGTAATTCTAAATGTTATATTTACTGAGGCCACCAGAGAATTCCTCTGGGCCACAGCCAAGAGTCAGCAGCACGGGGGCAGAGGGGAACGGAGCGAGGAGAAGAGAGACATCGTGTTATTTCCCTGTGATTCACTTTATTTTACTTCTCCCGAGTACTCTTCTTTTCTCCCTTCTTTAGGAATAAAATCGACTTGGATTTCGTTGCTCAGTTCAGGGTTTCTTAATTTTTTTTTATTTCCCTGATGTTTTTTTCCCCCTTCTCAATCATTTAGAGACTGTTATATGCACAGAGGGTTTGAATCATCAGTGAGGCTTACGGGCTTTTTATTTTCTTTTTCCCTTTTATTCAGTTGTGAAAGTTGGGATTCCTGTGACATCTGCAGCAGCAAACATAAGCTAATCCTATTAAGAATGTACTGTATGTGTGTGATGTGACATCTGTTCAGCTCCCTGTGATTAGGTTTGCTATTGCTTCTTTTGTAATAATGTAGTGGCTTGAATGGCTTTTCTTCATGTGTTAGGGGGAAAATAAAACTAACCATGTTTCAGGTATTGTCAGTGGTCCATCAATACGTTACGCCTTTTCCCCCATTGAGCACAAGGACTCTGCTCCAACTGTCGAAAATACAGGACGAGGTCCAGAAGTTTATAACTCACTTGACATCGGGCATATGACCCTATCAATATCTTTGGACTCATGAAGTCAGATGTATCTTGTTACCATTAAAATATTTTTGTCTGTATTTTCTCAACATTGTGTGGATCCATATAGCTCTTCTGTACATTGAAGTAGTATAAACGTGTGGCATAAACACCATGACATTGTGGCACAGCATCACATCAGATAAAGAGAGTTCCTACAAGAGGACCCTGACATTCAGCGGTAAACCAACAATCTCTGAGCAGGTTAGCAGAGAAGCCCTCGTCTAGTTATACACAAACGTTAGGAGACACCCCTTTTGCCTCGTTTGACTTGTCCCCTCTTACCGGCTTTGTTTAAAGTTTTAAAGGCTGGAAATATCCTCCCTATTGAAAGGCCAGAACATTTACGTCAGCTGCTCTGGATTGTTTGCAACGCTTGGGATGGGTTCATGGGAGCTTTTATGAATTGTCCCAACAGTGGTAATTGCCTCACTAAACATTTAGACAGTCTTCTCATTTGAAATGCAGACTTCCAACTGTTGATTTGCAGCTTTGAGTCATTCAAGTGTGCTGCTGTGCCTTTCTGCTGGCTATGTAACGGGATTTGACACATAAATCCTGCTCCCGTATTTTTTTTGTTTTATTTGTCCAGAGGGTGGCAGGGCTACATGACACAAAACTTCTAATAGTGGTTCTTCAATATCAGCCCTTCTGCCATCCGGTGTGCATCTGCCCTGCACATTCTACCACAGCTTTGCTGCTCTTATTAAGCATGTAGTGATACAAACGGACCAGTAGGTGGCGATACCTCTCCATAATAACCCGAAGACAAATAGTGGCAGCAGGTGCAAGTGATTGATTTTTTTACCAAGGGTGAGTGAGTTACTTGATTGAAGCTGCAAATTCCTTTAAAACTAAAAATAGCAGTTGATTTACATATTGCATGTCTCGTTTATTTGTTTTTAATGTATAAATATATTTAAATTTAATACATTTAAAAAAATGTATCCTCATTTTTCTTGAGTTAAAGGGCAGTACATTATCAAGCAATCTAAAAGGCATTTTAATATCTAGCACTCACTGAGTCTTTCAAAAACAATGTGTTCTGTGGCTCCACAACTCAAAAAGATTGATATCATTTAATATCTTAGATTAGGGTAAAACCACCGTTGCAATCACTGAAGCATTTAGGATTAGGATCTATAAATCAGGGTATCTGGTTCTCTGCAGCTTTAGGTTTGGCCCTTGTTTAAAAGAATAAATGTGTCTCCCCATTATCCAGCCGATACCAAAATCAATGGTTTTCAAGACATTGCTGTGATGACAGTATTTTACACTATTTTAATAAAACAGGGTTTTATTTGGAAATATATTGGCACAGTTATCACACACAAGTTTTATAACTGTAATAACTCAACCGTCCCTGTGTAGAGAGAAAGTGAAATATTTATTATAGTCCCTCTGGCCTCGTGTGAGAAGGGAAATGCGAGCTACATGCTGACATTGTAACCTGGTCACCGTTGGTACCAACGATTATAGTCAGGGAGCCGATAACAGTGTGTGGAAGAAAATATGCTGTGTCACACTCAGTTTGTTGTAACAATGCGTTGGGTCTGAGATGGATGACCTCCTGGCAAAACAATGGGCCGCCGGCTGGATCAGAAATCTCCCAGTTTGCATGGTTGGTATGACAACGCAGCTCTTTCAATACGTAGGCAGAAGAAGTCATAAATGAGAGGAGGTTGGGCAGGAGAGAGAAACGGTGCCTCTGTCTAGAGAAACCTGAGATCGTCGACCTCGGCTGCTTTGTGAACATCTGCCACGTGCTCCAGTCCAAACTAATGAATTAATGACTGTGTGCCTCAGTTCCACGGATGAATCATTAAAGAACCATAAAAGGTGAATGGGTGCACCACACTTCTGTCAACTCGTGGGCATCGGAAAGATCAACGTACTACATTTGCCTATGGGGACAAGAAACTGCACAAAATAAATGGAACCTGATCAGCGAAGCGCCGTTTCACTGGGGAATTCAGAGCGAGTTGCTCTCTGGGAAGAAGACGCTGACGCAACTCACACTGCTCAAGTTACTGTCAGCCTCAAAAGACCTACAGCAGGCAGCAGCACATGTAAGGTGGTGGAGGCCGACGCACATTCAGGCTCTCAACAGGAGGCCCGCACACAGTGTACTAACTCGTATTATGTCAACCGTGTGCCACAGCCACACATGTTTTGCTGAGTTGGTTGGTATCGGACTGACCATATCAAACCAATAACCTGTGAGCCAGCAGTCTCTGGTGACCAGATGCTCCAGAGACTCTGTTGTGTGTGCTGTTAAACCACCCAGACAGGCCCTGCTGCACATACGGGTGGGGTAGGGTGTGGTGTGGTACTATAGGATACAAATGAAGGGTGTGTCTGCCTTGGGCAGAGGAACGCTATGTTAACAAGACCAACTCAACAAGCAATGAGTAAATGATACTCTGATGGGTGGAAAGTAACCAGGATTGAGTATCTATTTTCAGATTTTTTTCAAATTTTAAAACCAGTATGTCGAGCAGGATTGCAGTCAAATTGCTTTCGGTGAAAAAAGTCACTGCCTACAGTTGTGTGGAAATGTCAACATTATGAAGATATTCTATTGCACCTTGCTTTGAAACCATTGTCTGCATAGGGTAATGCTAAAGGCTAATGCTTTCACAGACAAAATGGCTGACAGTCAAATCAGTATTACTGACCTGCACAGGAGGTTGTTGCTCAAGTGTTCATCTTAATATGAAATAGGACCCAACAGTGTTTATCCCAACAGTTTAAATGAGCCCCTTTTACCTGAGTAGCTTTAACACATGTAATCGTACTCCTAACCTGGGTAATGTATCATTTAGGTCTAGCAGTAGTGCTTCTATTATGAAGGATACTCTTTCCTCTCCTGGGGAAGGATCATTAAGCTTTTAATGAAAGGGAGAGCACATCCATTTGAGGTTCTGGCTGGACATCAGATGATATTGTATGTGCTATCATCACCGTGTGAGTTTATGATATGATGGAATGATCAAAGCACTGTGCATATCTGACCAAAATAAAACTAACATACCGGTGAAGCTCTATTGTGTGCTGAACATTGCTTATTTGAAAGAGATTGCTGTGCAGTGTCATCCAATCCTTTTCTTTTTCAGGGTCTGTCTGATACACAACACTGCAGAAACTTGACAACTGCTATAGGCTGAGGTGAAGGGGAGATCATTGCCTAGACAAATAAACTCTTCTGCTTGTGGTATAAATGCAAATACCACTCCTAAACCTTGGGTTTTAACCCCTTGCCTTCCATTGAAATACGATACTAATGAAATAAAATAATTGTATTAACTGTGGAGGATCTAGATAGAAATGTACATCAACTCCTCCTATTGATTTAAAGGCATCCTTATTTGGGAGGAGAACGTTTCTGAGTACATGTGCCATTCATTGAGAAGGAGTGCTATGGGCGTGCCCTCCAGAGAATCAGCCAATTGAATACCCGACTTTAGTAAAGAGGCGGGGCTTCTGAGGGAAACCCTGACACACAGTGGCTGCTGGCTGATGCTAAGGGCGGGGCTTGTAGACGGAAGTGTCTCCCGACTGGCCCAGCTGTCATCTAGAAGAGAGAAGAGTCCATTTACGCCGGCTGCCTAGGAAATGCAGAATAAGGGAAAACGCTAAAATATGGCAACATCTAACAATAAGGTCATGCTGCCGTGCTGAAGGTAGCTATGCCCGACTTATTACGCGCGTTTGTCGACCGAATAGAATAGCCGTCGAGGTTTGCGTTACGTTATTTGCAGACGTGAGAACGATGACCAGCTTCGGTATGCTGCGTGACATTGAACACACAGGACACGAAACAGACCGAGGTCGTCCAAAAAACCCACAACGTTCCACCATTTCCAGCCACGTAAACTCCTGGAAATTTCCACCGTCGTCTCGATGGCAACGCTGTCGTGTGCTCGTATTTGAATTTCGATGACGTTGTAGCCGTCGAATGCGTTTATTGCCTCCCCAGCTGGTTTTGCAGATCTGCCACAACGCCTGTGCGGCGTCGGCTATTATCCTAGCGCAGCTCTGCGAAGGGAACCACCGTAGATTGCGAACAGACTGCAGGACGTCATCGCGATTTTCCTCTATTTCCAAAAGCTTGCGTACGAGGAGGTCATTGCTGGGGAGGAGAAGAAGTGGGGGAGAAGGGGGATATAACTCGGTGAGTGTCCGTGCTGTGAGCCGACGCGACGATTGGGTCGCGCTGTAACGCGTGAACGTCGCTTTAAACGTACATTTAAATGGACTGCTGGGATCTGCATGCTTTTTTCTTTTTTTGCACGGAAGGTGGCCGAGCAGCTGTTAGCTCGCTGTTAGCTGCTTAACGACCTTTTTGGAGACGTCAGCTCCACCAGCACCGGTTAGGGTGTGTGTGTCTGTGTGTGTTTTCCCTGGTTGGCTGCCTGCTATTCGAGTGTAATATTTCGTCCAGGCCTCCCGTGGCCCAGCGAGTCAATGATTTAATCTCATTGATTGCATCACAAGACCAGACTGGGCGCAGCCTAAGCACATTCGCCGGCAATGGCGAGGCTTTAAAAAAATATCTTTTGTTTTAAGGTCAGATCAACTTGTGCTGTAACAGCCTTTTCTTTTTTGTCACCCCTTCCCCTCTTCGACCTGTATATTAGGTTAAAGAATACGGTGAAAGTGTATTGAAGATTTACTGGGTGTCCTAAATGGGCGACTACGGGTTCGGAGTTCTGGTGAAGAACGGCAGCGGTAACAAGTCCGCTTTCCCCGTAAGGATCCCTCCTCACCTCCAACCCCAGCACCCTCCCCACCCCTCCAACCCCCCCAGTCCCCCTTCCTTCGTGAGCAACACCTGCTCCAACAATGGGGGCAGCGCTTGGCTGTTTCCTGCCGTAGCCCAACACGGTAACATGCAGGATGAGATTCTTGAGTCAGACAAGTCCAAGGCCTTGGACCTCCAAGACCTACAGGAGAAGTCTCAGGTCCAGGCCCAGCCTCAGGCCCTGTCCCCGGGCCAGCAGGAGGCTGTGGGAGGCCTAGGAGAGCTTGAGGGAGCTCTTCCTGAAAA